ACGTCATCCTACGAAAGTTTCACATAAATTTCTCATCTCTCATGCATGTTACATGACACATGTGCCATCACTTCACCTTAACTTGACAGCTTCAGTAAAATAATCCTGCTAAGATGGTGAATTATAAAGATCTTATGTACAATTTTTCTATCTTCCTGTTATTTGGTCTCTCTGAGGTCCGAATGTTCTCATCGGAACTCCGTTCTCAGAGCCTTAATCTGTGTTGTTCCTCATAAAAGCAATTTTCGTGTAGAGTTAAATCTTCAGATCCTATTATAGAAGACGAGACAACCAAAAAACTTTGTGAAATGTAACCTAGCAACCGTGCCCGGAATTTAATCTGCTCTTATTTAATGTAATAATACTGTAAGTTTATATAATATCTGAATAACTTATACAATATAATAATGTGAAAGACGTCATTAAATAAGCCACGAAATAATAATTTAGCCTTAAACGTAAATGATCAGCTGCTAATGTAAGCAGTTTTCATTCTGTCAAAGTTTGAGTGTCAGAATACGACCCGCATAAAATACGAACTCTGAAGCGAAAGCTAACCTAACCTAACCTAACCTAACCTAACCCTAACCTAACCTAACCTAACCTAACCTAACCTAACTTAACCTAACCTAACGTAACCTAACATAACCTAACCTAACCTAACCTAACCTAACATCCGTACTTTGGGCTCCAATGCCGCTTCGTAGCTGCGGAGTAATTTTCAGCTCAGGCAGTAGAAGCGATGTTCTGTTTCACGCAGAAAAACCGAGCTCCGTTTGGTACTGAAACACGTCAAGAACAGAACTGAGATGCCATTGCCAGGTAATCGATTCGAAGCAGAAGTTGAGAAGTTGTGCTCAAATCGAATGGAATTGGGATTTTAGCCAAACTACACAACCTAATCCCCGAGACATTACGTCACAAGTGGCTCAGATGTGTTGTATGGATGTTGGATGAGGCCGGGGCGTTGGATCACTCAGGCGTTCTTTACATCCTCATTAAGTTAAAAACAACCAATAAGTTATATGACGGAGATCGTCCTGCGTGTTCTCGTCTTCACAAATGTAGAATGTAATAGCCCCCAGGACTCAGAAGTTACTCAGAGAAGTGGATCGCCCTGATGATGGAGGCAGCCAGAACCTTTGAAACGTCTGTAAACTTCAACCAGACTACACGGCGGAACAATACAAAAGACAGCCACCTTCATCTTCTAGGTTGCTGCACCGTGTAGTGTTTTGACAGTATCCCAACGATTCAGATAAATATACCGTCTCCATCATCAGGGTCGAAGTGGAGAATGATGGAATGCAGCTGGCTTACAGATGATTACATGGGATGAGGACCGGAAGGCGGATCCTCGTCTCGGCCAATAACAGATCAATTAATACGCGCTTCTCTTTTTTAGTCATGGCGAATCTTACATCCAGTCGGTCTTCCTTCGCAGACCGAAGACTTCCCCACTCTTCGCACAAGTACCCTCGAGCCGCCATCTCCCCGCACTGATTTTCGCTTTTCAAATCTGTTCCAGCACTTCAACGTACACCAGTAGTTTCGCCTTTGTGCGTATGAAAGACCTCAGTTCCAAATGCTATTAATTCATTTTGACAGCCGATCATTATGGGGTGCTTAAAATATTTGTTGCCTTCGTTCTATTGATGTGCTCTGAATATCCCCTTCTGTGCTGTTCGTAAGTTCGCAGGGCATGTAAGAGGATTAACAGCAGCGCGTTTCAAAACATTCATCACTGTACTCCAGTAAACAAATAAACTGAAAGCTGGTTATGAACAGAGAGGCATTGAAAATAAAAATTAACAGCCAAAACACAGTATAATTCTTCTCTTTTCAGAAATCTTACAAATCTTTCGAGCTCCGAATTATAAAATTTTTAATTTATGAACTAAACTCTGCTTTGTGTACGCGTCGACAGAACTGTGACGACATGTAAATTCCTATGTAGGCTATTCATAATGAATTCATACAGGTGAATAACAGCGGAAGCATTTCATGTATCTCCAATTCCTCCTCGAACAATTTGGAGGAGGTATGAAACGAGGGAGTCCCATGAAGTGGGTAACCAGCGCGTCCTTCTTTCTGTGGGATACGTCACTGGAAAACTTCCTTGAAGCGCATAAACGAGTATTAAGCCTCCGCACGTAAAACAGAGGAGTTTCGTTTTCGTAGGCACAGCGTAACTCCAGAAAACCATATTTTTTAATTCGCAATAAGTTGTAGCAAATAGGGCAGAAAGTAATGTAATTTAGACAAATTAAATTGTTCTTGTATAACTTGTGCATCACCGACCATTCACATTTAATGGTAAGAAGAGATAAATTTAAGGTGTCATTAATAACTGAAGAAACTAGTGAAGTGTTACGTATGGAGCAGAGACTTGGACACTCAGAAAGAAGGAACAGAAATACCTGGAGAGTTTTGAAATGTGGTGTTGGAGAAGAACAGAGAAGATCAGGTGGACGGATCGAGTGACCAACGAAGAAGTATTGAGGAGAGTCAACGAGCAAAGAAGCATTCTGCAGGCGATTACACGAAGGAAAGCTAACTGGCTGGGACATATTATGAGAAGGAATGGAATACTGAGTGATATCACCGAAGGCCAGGTTGAAGGAAAGCGAGGACTGGGAAGAAGGCGGATACAGCTAACCGACGATCTTAAACAAGGAAAGAAGATGACGTTCCAGGAGTTAAAACGAGAAGCTGAGAATAGGGAAAACTGGAGAGCTCTTTTTGGGCAGAGCAATGGACCTGTCGTAAGACAGAACACTTAATAATAATAATAATAATTAATAACTATTAATGCGAATGAACGAATCTGGAAAAAGTATCATTCCAAATCAGGGCA